GTGCGCTCACCAGACAGACAGAGAGAGACATAGAGACAGAAAGCGAGAAATCACCCCCCAGGGGGGATGGTCACGCCATAATCCCTTCTCCTCCATTCTCCTCTCGGGATCTTGGGCACGCACACACACACACCTCGCGTGAGTTCTAAGCCACTAGGTCCGGGACGCAAACCGCGGTCAACTACGTGGGAGTCCAGCAACATAGTCATTACGCTAACTGCTGGTTCCCGTACAATGTTGACAGTACCAGAATAAAATGTCGAACAAAATCAGGATCATGAAAAATGTATTTATATTGTTAAGTCTATAGAACAAATATTTTGATTGTATAATTGGATGAAATATTTTCACTGATAATCCACACTTTTCTCTCTCCTATTTATGGATTTTTATTTTGTTCAGATCATACAATACATAATCATGTTCTTTTTGTCTGATTTTATAACATAGGAATTTTCCATGATAATAAATATATTTTGTAAACCATACAGCTTCTTCATAATTTTTTTCACATTAGGAAACTCTGTTGTTTTTTCATAAAAAAGAAATCGTATTATGTGTATTTAAGGTATACAACATGATGTTATAAGACACATATAGGTAGTAAAACAGTTACTGTGGTGAAGCAAAGTAATATATACATCCTCCCACAGTTACTTTCTTGTTGTTTTTGTGGCAAGAGCAGCTGAAATCTACTTATAAACAAGAAAACTAAATATAGTACAATTTTATTACCGTGTAATATCTCTAATATAGCTGCATTTGTCTCCAATCTAGTACAATGCCACACATATGGTTAGTACTCTATAAATATTTCTTATAAAAAGAGACTAAATATTTGCATTGGTTTTTGTGGCTGAATAGTATTCCATGGAATACATGAGTCACATTTTTTTAATATACTCCTATGTTTTTGGGTATTTGGGTTGACTTCATGTCCTAACAGTTGTAAATAATGCTGCAATAAACATAGATGTGCAAGTGTTTTTCCAACTGAAGGTTTTCCTGTCCTCTGAGTAGATACCTAAGTGTGGAATTACCCAAGCATGCTGCACTCACAGAGTGCTAGAGCCAGAAGGGTCTGCTCTGGTGATCCGTGACCAGTGACCAGGACTGTGTTGGGAATCTTAGAAGTACTGCCAACATGTCAGATATGGAAGCAACTAACCAACTTCTGGATGTGAACCTTCATGAGAATCAGAAGTCTGTACAAGTGACAGAAAGTGGCCTCAACAGTGAATGCGAGCATCTTCAAGTTGCTATCGGGGCCACTGTACCTACTGGCTTTGAGCAGACAGCTGCAGATGAAGTGAGAGGAAAATCGGGGTCATCACATAAAATCAGCAAAGACTAGGGCAAGATATATTTTGAGTTTCAGTGGAAAGTCTGGCTCAGGTTCATTGTCTGAGATCAGTTGATAACTTATTTGTGGTTGTTCAGGAGTTTAAAGATTACCAATTCAAAAAAATAAAGGAAAAAGTTTTAAAGGATTTCGAAGACTTGGCTAGAAAACTCCTATGGTCAGACCCTCTAAAAGTATGGAAAATTAATACCAGTTTCAAGAAAAAAAAAAAAGCACAAGATAAATTGGAATTCAAGGAAAGGAAAAACTGAACATGGGCAAGGAGACAAACTAGATGAGAGGGATGTTAAAAAAGAATTTACTAACAATGCTTTAGATTCACATATTTTGGACTACTATGAAAACCCAGCCATCAAAAAATAGGTGTCAACATTAGTAGGTGATGACTTGGCATCTTGCAAAGATGAGGCTGATGACAACACAAAAGAAGAAACAGAGCCTCAAGTGTTAAAATTTAGAGTCACATGCAATGGGGCATGAGAGAAACACTGTTTTACCTCATATGAGGTTGCAAGAGATTTTGGGGGTGCTGTTCAAGATGACTTTAAGTGGAAGATTAGTATGACCAATTTGATGTAGAGGTTCTCTTAAATATCCATGATAATGAAGTCATTGTGGATATTGCTTTGACTGAAGGGAGTCTCCACCGAAGAAATATCACTCATTTTGGACCCACAACCTTCGCATCAATTCTTGCCTATGGGATGTTCAGACGCTACTCCTCAACCTACTGATATAATCGTTGATCCAATGTGTGGAATGGGTCAATACCAATAGAGGGTGCTACACAATGGTCTGTTACCATATTGGTGGTGATGATAATCCATTGGCTGTGAATTAAGCACCAAATAGCATTTCATCTTTATTGACTAAGAGTCAGTTTTAAAAAGGCAAACCCTCCTGGGGCTTGCCCATAGACACTGTTCACTAGCTCATCTTTATTGACGAAGAGTCAATTGTAAAAAGGCAAACCCTCCTGGGGCTTGCCCATAGACACTGTTCACTAGGATATCTGCAATCTACCATTGAGAAATGGCTCTGTGGATATTATTATAATAAATATGCCATTTGGAAAAAGGCTGGGCTCCAAAAGGAGAAACCAGAACCTTTATCCAGCTTGCCTACGAGAGATGAGCTGTGTCTGTAGACCTGGAATAGGTCAAGCTGTCCTACTTACTCAAGACAAGAAATGCTTTACCAAGGCATTATCTGAAATAGGACATGTATGGCGAAAGGTGCATACAGTCTGGGTGAACGTAGGGGGTCTTCATGGGAAGTTTATCTTCTGGAACACACACCTCAAGCTTTTGCTTGTCCTTCAGAAGATGGAGGAAGAGGAACTCCTTGGTAATGGAGAGAGTGCAGATGAA